ACCGCCACCACTACCACTACCACTGACACCACCTCCACCACCACCGCCACCACGTCCTCCAATCCTGTGTGGGGCCCAATAGTTCCGAGCTTTGGAGAAGAGGGCTTCCAAGAAGATAAAGCAAACTCCGGAGTCGCTGAGCCACGGTAAACCACTCTGCGTGTGCGCCCTGTGTGTTTATTTTTGTTATTTATTACCATGCTTCTCACGCAGCATCAGCCTTACTCGGTCTCAAGACTTTTTTTCAGGAGGATCCTGCCAAGTTTGCTCGCATTTTGCAAGAAAGTTGCTACTGTTTGCGATCCAATTCGTACGATTTGCATTGCTTGTGTGGGTTCAGTAACAGGGAGAAAGCTGCAGAACCTTCCCAGAACAGGTGGCTGCACAATCCACACGGAGAATGTGGCCAAACGTGGAACTCAAACCCAGGTCAATGTTGCTGTGATGCACAGGTGCTCAAGCCCTGTCGCGCTCTCAAAATTCACAGACACTGCAAACTCCACGTGTACATTCCGCTATACTGAGGACAGATTTATTTTTCGTAACTGGTTTCTGAGTTAGACGACATAACGAAGTGGGCATATCTTCACCATGTAACCCTCCATCCACCGTGAGATTTTCGCTGTCTATCGCCTGTTGCCAGGCCAGCTGCCAATTCGCCTTGTAATGTACAGCGACAGCTACCACTGAGAGGGGTGTCCAATTTAAAACGCGATGAGATGAGAGATGCGAGAGGCTCATCGCATGCAATGCACTCTGAGATGTCTTCGACGTCAAGGGAGGTGGCTCTCTCGACCACAAATCACTGACGGACGCTTTTTTTAAATCGTGGATGTGTTGAAGCGACCAAATTTTCGTGCACTCATTCTTCACCATTACAGTTCAGATCTTGCTTCCCGCCCTGGCTATTATTGCTGCTGCATTGACCACACAGATCCACACCCATTCCGTCACAGTGGACGTTCAGGATCTCTATCGATGCCATTTGAAATGCTTAGGACATTATGTGCAAGGGGTCAATTAGAATATACATATAGAATATGTTCAATCTAGATTTGAAGTTTTAGTGACTACAGGGATCCATATTCTTTGGTTATATCGGTAAATTCACGTAGGTATGAAATAAAATAAATTAAATTAAATCACGACGTTTCGATGGCCATGTCGTTATTGCAAGAACGTTTCTTGCTGTGGTTTTCCCACCTGATGATGATTGCTTGTGTTACAATCGAAACGTTGTGATTTAATTTATTTTATTTTATACCTACATGACTTTACCGAAAGAACCAAAAAAAATGTCACTTCAAATTATTCAGCTAAATTTGCACAGCAACGCCACCCACTACTGTGAAACTACAGCAGTCTGTGTGAGACACAGCTGCACCTATCTCAAGGATAGCCTGGCGCCATGAGAATGACAGCACCAATACTAAGCACACTCACTGGCCATGTCGTTATTGCTGTTTCTATTCAGCTCGAATTAATCCGCCACACATTCCACCCACGGACGATGGGGAGATGGCGATGTCTGCCGTAGCAGCAAGGTGGAACGGTGTCGTGTTTGACAGACAACCATCACAGTTTTACCATGTCTAGTGGTGGTCTCCCTGTTACAAGTTGAGTCACAAACCGCACCTCTCCATAACATAGGCTCAGCCTTTGATATGCAGTCTATTCTTAGTCTTAAGCCTCACCTTACCATATTAATAAAAGTATGCGGCCCTTGCCACACCACCTTCTCCAACCATCATATAAACGAAGTGGCAGCTTCTGCAATCTCTCATTTACCTGATACAGCTGTCGTGGCTGTGACGGTTCCACCTGAAGACGGAAGCTTGTGTTGCCTCCGAAACGTCGTGATTTTAATTTTTTATGTTATTTTATTTTACTTTTTAATGTTTTTTTACCTACGTGACTTTACCGAAAAAACCTAAGAATATGAATCATTGCAGTCACGAAAGCTTCAAATCTAGAACGGTGTCGTGTTGTCTCTTCACAGATCTGAGCCAGCTCAGCCCTCCTCCTCACTCGTCCAGGCCTTTGAAGTGAAGACAGAGGTTGTGGAGAAGGAGACGAAGGAAGAGGTGAAGGAGATGGAGGATGAAGTAGAGACGGAGGAAGAGAAGGCAAAGGAGGACGAGATTGTGATGGTGACAATGGAGGAGAACACGGAGGGAGAGGAGAAAGACAATACAGAGATGGAGGACAAGGAGACAACAAAGGATGAACAGATGGTCGTGGTGGAGGACGTGAAGACGACGGACAAAGGGGAAACAATGGTGGTGGAGGAGGAAGAGAAGACGGTGGTGGAGATGGTGGTGCCGGAAGTTGAGGAGCAGATGAAGGAGGAAGAGATGGTGCTAGCGGAGGAGAAGAAGATGGAAAAGATGGAGGTGGCGCAGGAAGAGGAGGTAGAGGAGAAGATGGTGGTGGAGGATGAAGAAGAGGGGATGGAGGAGGATGAGACGGAGGAGAAAACGGAAGAGGTGCAGGTGGAGATGCACGAAAAGAAGAGGAAGCGAGGGGGCCTCGCTCGCGTGGCGAGAGCGATCGCCTCACTCCTCCGCCGCGTGCTGCTTTGTGGTGGCAGGTCCACCGCCCAGTAGGGGTGGTGGCGGTGGTCGTGCATCGGTGCCGACCGTGACCACTATCACCACACTAACCGCCCACCCCGTGATACTCGCTACACACACCACACGGTTCCCCAGAGAGACGGTGCAACGTTCAGGTCCAGAATACCGAAGTATACCGGGAATCACCTGTACTTAAAAACACGTAAATTGATAACACTATAAACAATAACACTAAACATTAAACGACAAAACAGCTACCAACTGGTTTTATAATTTATACCACCATAAACGGAGGTACGGTATTTTAATTTCATTAGAAGTATTATAATGGAACTCTACACATGTTTGTTAATTATCTGTTCAATCAAACCGGGGGTCGGATATGTGAACTGTGGGGGTCGAGGGTAAGAATGGCATTCAAATTTTAGAATGACAATTTGGTCGTTTTAGCAAATTACTGTACTTGAATGTATGTTATGTGCAAATGCAAATTGTTAGTCGTAAATGCGAGGGAGGGGTTAAGAGGTGCACGTTTAATCCAGTGTTAACATTTATTTTAGCATCAAACAAAATTAGTACAATGTCGGTCATAAGGGAGTGCGTTTTCATACATACGAGCAGAGTTCGCTTGCACGTTCACTCTACATACATATGCGCAGTGTGATTCCAAGACGATCACATTGCGATTCTAATACTTCTAATTATATTCTAATATCGTATTAGAATATCCTCTAATATTGTATTAGAATATCTCTATTCTTTGGTTCTTTCGGTAAAGTCACGTAGGTAGAAATAAAACAAAATAAATAACGACGTTTCGGAAGGCTGTCATATACCGCCCCATTTACGAGTTGGCTGTATGATGTGTATAGTTGAAGGTGCTAGGTGTTGTCTACTTCTAACAGCTATTAACGTGCGTGTGTTGTCTGTTTTTAGAATTTGTTCATTGATGTGGTTCTTTTTATTGCGGCGTTTTTTTTGTTGAGTTCTGTCACTTGAGTGTAGCAGTTTGTTGCCAGATAGAAGGGTAAAGAACCAATTATCATATTTTTACTGGCAAATGAGGTCCCCATAGTGTAGCAGTTTGTTTAAGAATTCGTCACGTGAGCGTGGTGTTTTGCTTGTTGGAATTTCGCTTTGTTACAATTTGTGATTGTTATAATAATTGTAACGATTCATAATCTCATGAGTTTATAATGGGTTTGTGCGTGTATTTATATAAATATATTCCGTCTTTTGTTATTTGATGACATCTAGCAGTGAAAATCGTGATTGTATATGACCATGTTGTAATTGTAATAATTTTTATCCGATCCTTGCACGTACACTATACATACATATTAGCGATTCGTATACGACCACACTGTGATTCTAATGATATTATAATACCTTACCTCAGTTTAAATGGTTATAAATTAAAACACTAGTTTATAATCGTTTAATGTTCAGTGTTATCGTTTATAGTATTACAGTTTACATGTTGTAGAGTACAGTTTATCCCCGACATACTTCGGGATTAGGGACTGGTACGTTGATGAACGATTAACTACGGGGACCTTTCACCTCAAGGAACACGTGTTAATCGTGTAGACAGCCAAGATGCTGCCGGTTAAGGGCACACTTGTGTGACGGAGATCCTCCACCTGAAATTCTCTTAACATAGGAACATTATAAAATAAAGACCGGACAAACATTTGTTAAAAATACGTTTTTATTCATCTGCAATCATTTTTACGTCAAAACTCGAAGGGAATATTTATTATGTCCTATGTTCACACATTTCCAGTACAATGCAAACCATTACCAAAGCGTTAAAGTGTCATTCCCCATGATTTCCTTATTAGTTCACCACATTTGTTCACTGTGCGTCTATGTTGTAGTCAAGGCCATATATCCAACGAACTTGTCATTAATGTACATCCTGAAATCGGCTATCTAAAGTCGATTAATACCAATAAAAACAGCTATATGCTCGAAAAAAAACCGTTTAAAATGTTGAGTAAAGATGTACCTACAGACGCATTCCAACTTTAGCTCAACAGGAACACTTAACGACTACAATTTAACCCTCTCACAACCAGTCCTCATCACACCACTTCGGCAAGTCATCCGATAACATTACAAACCACCACTGGGCACGTCATTAAACTCTCACAAAAACTGTAAAACTAAAATGGTCAAAATTACACACAAAAGTACTCGATACGGCTTAATATGACATAATATTTTTTCAGTCACCCCGAGCTCTCTGGTTGACTCTCGAGCCACTCCATTACATCCAGCCATCTCTCGGGATCCAACTGCATGGGATCGAAGGTGGAAACTTCTTCAGGAATCATTGCAGCACCTTGAATTTCAGCTTTTGATTTCAGTTTCCTATCATTGTGGACCTTTTGATGCCCGTTCCTGGTTGATGAGTGTGCAAATTTCTTCCCACACACAGAGCACAGGAATGGCTTCTCGCCCGTGTGTGTTCTCTGATGACTATGAAGAGTTGATGAGTCTGCAAATGCCTTCCCACACACAGGGCACAGGAATGGCTTCTCGCCCGTGTGTGTTCTCTGATGACTATGAAGATTTGATGACTTTGCAAATGTCTTCCCACACACAGGGCACAGGAATGGCTTCTCGCCCGTGTGTGTTCTCTGATGACTATTAAGAGTTGATGAGTCTGCAAATGCCTTCCCACACACAGGGCACAGGAATGGCTTCTCGCCCGTGTGTGTTCTCTGATGACTATGAAGAGTTGATGAGTCTGCAAATGCCTTCCCACACACAGGGCACAGGAATGGCTTCTCGCCCGTGTGTGTTCTCTGATGACTATGAAGATTTGATGACTTTGCAAATGTCTTCCCACACACAGGGCACAGGAATGGCTTCTCGCCCGTGTGTGTTCTCTGATGACTATGAAGATTTGATGACTTTGCAAATGTCATCCCACACACAGGGCACAGGAATGGCTTCTCGCCCGTGTGCATTCTCTGATGAGTTTGAAGAGTTGATGACCGTGCAAATGCCTTCCCACACACAGGGCACAGGAATGGCTTCTCGCCCGTGTGCGTTCTCTGATGAGTTTGAAGAGTTGTCGATTGTGCAAATGTCTTCCCGCACACAGGGCACAGGAATGGCTTCTCGCCCGTGTGTGTTCTCTGATGACTCTGAAGATGTGATGCCTGTGCAAATGTCTTCCCACACACAGGGCACAGGAATGGCTTCTCGCCCGTGTGTGTTCTCTGATGACTCTGAAGATGTGATGAGTGTGCAAATGTTTTCCCACACACAGAGCACAGGAATGGCTGCTCACCCGTGTGTGTTCTCTGGTGTCTCTTAAGACTTGATGACCATGAAAATGCCTTCCCACACACAGAGCAATTGAATTGTTCCTTGCCCCCGTGTGCGTGGGGCTGTGGAGAGCGTCTCTGCTCCATGTGAGCGTAGTAACAGTAGTGGTGTTATTGAGTCAAAAGTACGCTATCGGCCGCAAGGATGTTTAGCGTTGAGTTTCAGATTTTGTTAACTGCTAAAACAAGAACGACACTCTAACCGAGACGCAAAAAAAATCCCGCTAATTTGACGACGAAAACGTTTAAGAGTTTATCCCCGAAAATAGACACTTACTTGGAGATTCACGGTATATCGATGTCTGGAACCCGTCTGAAGATGTCGCCACGAACTCTCCCGACGCAAAGTCGCCTAACTGTCGACACAGCAATTGTGCTCGCCAGGCTGCGTTGTCTCGCGGTTGAAGGGCGAACAGCAGAGCGACGAGTCGAGCGTCCAACCTCATCAAGTTCCCTCTCGAAATGGCATTGAGCTCTGCTTCTGAGCCGCCTTATAACTCCCCCCCTCGGATCCAATCCTTTGTCTTTCAGGATTTTTGCATTCGATTGTTAATTTTGGAAGGTACAATCCGCATATCTATTAACATACCGAAGAGTAATGTGTCCATTGTACTTCATGCATGAATATGTAAGTGCATCTCAGTGTGTAATTGTGCGCTTATTTTGAATAAATGGAAAAACTTTGTCCTCGATTTAAAGTGAATGCAGAGAAATTAGCATGTAACTTTAGAAAAGGATGAGAGCGGCCTTCTCGACGAGGGAGTGAAACCAAATAGGTAATATTATTTTACAGCGTTACAATGGATAGGTTGTAGTTCATAGGTTATAATATTATGTTTCACTATGATAGAGCTTAACATGTGAGAGTATACAATATCAGAGTTGATCAAATGCGACGATCAAGGGCGTCAATCGGGTGAGTTTGATCAGAGGCTTTAATCAAAAGGCGTCATCCCATCACGGAACACCACTTCCCTGCGTTTATCACAGCAACAGAAGCAACTACAGCAGCAACAACAGCAGCAGCGACAACAACAGCAGCAACATCACATTTCGAGGGCGACGCAGCTACTTCCGATTCTGCTGCCCAGCTGTTTGTAGTCGGGACCTGCTCTCGCAGGACCCCACACGTCTTTGGAAATGATTGCGATGATCATGTCTGAGCTGAGAATTAAGTCACTCAAGATTACTTTTTTAACCATAACTTTAGGTAGGTTAGTGTCATTGGGGCTCTATGAATACTACTCATGAATGAAATCACACTACTGTATGGCATTGTACTAATTTTTGTTAATCAAGTAGAATAAGGCACGTGCCATGTCCAGACGAATTATTATCAACAACAAATTTTGAATAAATGGATAAACACGTTCGCCATGCCCTCCGTTGTCCTCAATTTAAAGTGAATGCAGCCCCGTGGCGTTGCCAAAAACCGCCAAGCTTCGGGAGGGAGCACGTACAGACGCGTAGTGACCACACTCGACTTTAATAGCTGCTCTCAAACAACACTGTCTCCAATAGTGTTTTACGGGCTATGGTGTTGAGCGGATAATCAGTCGTTTTGGTCAAGGCGTATGGGATAATACACACCTCTGTTATCCCATAAACACAATACACAGCAGCGGTAAGGCTGCCTTGTTGGGGAGATGTAGTTTGGGTAAGGTGCTTTGACTGGAGTTAGGCGATGTGACTGGGTTATCACGCGGATTCCGAAAAGCAGCTTAGACGAAACGATCCACTGCGCTCCCCACATGGACAACGACATTCTAAATTTTTAAAAAATTGAAAACATATTTTTAAATACGTATTTGAAAACAGGACCCTGCGGGGTGGGCTGGTAGGAATAATACTAATACCGGTACAGGGATATCGACCGGGTATAGAGGAGTTAAAAAGAAAATGATTTGTGCATGGGGGGTGAGCAATGACGTCAAGACCCCCCTCCCCACTGACTCGCGCGCCCACAGAGCAAGGATTGCAACAGGCGATGTCATTGGCTGCGCCGGCAGCAGTCATTCTCCGCTGTAGTCCTGGCATCTGCTGCTCAGCTTCATTCCCCAGCTGTGGTCCCAGTGGCACCGTCTCTCTGGGGAACAGTGTGGTGTGTGTAGCGAGTATCACGGGGTGAGTGGGTAGTGTGGTGATAGTGGTCACGGTTGGCACCGATGCACGACCACCGCCACCACCCCTACTGGGCGGTGGACCTGCCACCACAAAGCAGCACGCGGCGGAGGAGTGAGGCGATCGCTGTCGCCACGCGAGCGAGGCCCCCTGTTCTCGTGGGACCCGACAAGGATTTGGAAATAATTGCTATGATCATGTCTGAGCTGGGATGAGCGACTAATTTTTACTTTGTTTAATCATAACTGTGTGTAGGTTAGTGCCATCGGTGCTTAGTGAATACTACTCATGAATGAACGCATACTTCTTTCGGATATAAATTGAAATCATGTTGGTAGAACAAGTCGCCTGCCTTTTCTAGACGAATTGTTATCTTCAAGTGTGTCCGTAAATAAACTGCTAAAATACACAGCATAGTGAAGGCTGCCTTGTTGGGGAGATGTAGTTTGGCTAAGGCGCTGTGGCCGGGTGATGACACGGATTCTGAAACATTGGAGTTAAACACTCGCTGCTTGGCCCCGTCGACAGCAGCGAAGACTGTCATATACCGCCCCATTTACGAGTTGGCTGTATGATGTGTATAGTTGAAGGTGCCAGGTGTTGTCTTCTTCTAACAGCTACTAACGTGCGTGTGTTGTCTGTTTTTAGGATTTGCCCATTGATGTAGTTATTTTTATTGCGGCGTTTTTTTGTTGAGTTCTGTCACTTGAGTGTTGCAGTTTGTTTAAGAATTCGTCACGTGAGCGTGGTGTTTTGCTTGTGGGAATTTCGCTTTGTCACAAATTGCGATTGTTATAATAATTGTAACGATTCATAATCTCATTAGTTAAGAATGGGTTTGTGCGTGATTCTTATACGATCACACTGTGATTCTAATGCTTCTAATGATATTATAATACCTTACCTCCGTTTAAATGGTTATAAATTAAAACACTAGTTTATAATCGTTTAATGTTTAGTGTTATAGTTTATAGTATTACAGTTTACATGTTATAGAGTACAGTTTATTCCCGACATACTTAGGGATTAGGGACTGGTACGTTGATGAACGATTAACTACGGGGACCTTTCCCCTCAAGGAACACGTGTTAATCGGGTAGACAGCCAAGATGCTGCCGGTTAAGGGCACACTTGTGTGACGGAGATCCTACACCTGAAATTATCTTAACATGTTTTTGCTAGGAACATGATAAAATCAAGAATGGACAAACATTTGTTAAAAATACGTTTTTATTCATCTGCAATAATTTTACATCAAAACTCGAAGGGAATATTTATTACGTCCTATGTTCACACATTTCCAGTACCATGCAAACCATTTCCGTTCCAGGAATACCAAAACGTTAAAGTATCATTGATTTCCTTATTAATTCACCACATTTGTTCACTGTGCGTCCATGTTGAAGTCAAGGCCATATATCCAACGATCGCGTCATCAATGTACATCCTGAAATCAGCTATCTAAAGTCGATTAATACCAATCGAAAACCGCTATATACTTGAAAAAAAATGGTTTAAAATGTTGAGTAAAGATGTACCTACAGACGCATTCCAACTTTAGCTCAACAGGGACACTTAACGACTACAATTGAACCCTCTCACAACCAGTGCGCATCACACCACTTCGGCAAGTAATCCGATAACATTACAAACCACCACTGTGCACGTCATTAAACTCTCAAAAAAACTATAAAACTAAAATGGTCAAAATTATACACAAAAGTACTCGATACGGCTTAATAGGTATAACCACATAACATAATATTTTTTTTTCAGTCACCCCGAGCTCTCGGTTTGATCCTCGAGCCACTCCATTACATCCAGCCATCTCTCGGGATCCAACTGCATGGGATCGAAGGTAGAAACTTCTTGAGGACTCATTGCAGCACCTTGAATTTCAGCTTTTGATTTCAGTTTCCTATCATTGTGGACCTTCTGATGCCTGTTAAGAGTTGACGACTGTGAAAATGCCTTCCCACACGCAGGGCACAGGAATGGCTTATCGCCCGTGTGTGTTCTCTGATGGTTTTGAAGAGTTGACGACTGTGCAAATGCCTTCCCACACACAGGGCACAGGAATGGCTTCTCGCCCGTGTGTGTTCTCTGATGACTCTGAAGATGTGATGAGTGTGCAAATGTTTTCCCACACACAGAGCACAGGATTGGCTTCTCACCCGTGTGTGTTTTCTGGTGTCTCTTAAGACTTGATGACCATGAAAATGCCTTCCCACACACAGAGCAATTGAATGGCTTCTTGCCTCCGTGTGCGTGGGGCTGTGGAGAGCGTATCTGCTCCATGTGAGCGTAGTAACAGCAGCGGTGTTATCGAATCAAAAATACGCTATCGGCCGAAAGGATGTTTAGCGTTTAGTTTTGGATTTCGTTAACTGCTAAAACAAGAACGACACTCGCGTCTAACCGAGACGCAAAAAAATCCCGTAAATATGACGACAAAACACGTTTAAGAGTTTATCCGCGAAAATAGACACTTACTTGGAGATTCACGGTATATGGATGTCTAGAACTCGTCTGAAGATGTCGCCACGATCTCTCCCGACGCAAAGTCGCCTAACTGTCGACACAGCAATTGTGCTCGCCAGGCTGCGTTGTCTCGCGGTTGAAGGGCGATCAGCAGAGCGACGAGTCGAGCGTCCAACCTCATCAAGTTCCCTCTCGAAATGGCATTGAGCTCTGCTTCTGAGCTTCCTTATAACTCCCCCCCTAGGATCCAATCCTTTGTCTTTCAGGATATTTGCATTCGATTGCTAATTTTGGAAGGTACAATCCGCATGTCTATTAACATACCGAAGAGTAATGTGCCCATTGTGCTTCATGCATGAATATGTAAGTGCATCTCAGTGTGTAATTGTGCGCTTATTTTGAATTAATGGAAAAACATTGTCCTCGATTCAAAGTGAATGCAGAGAAATTAGCATATAACTTTAGAAAAGGAAGAGAGCGGCCTTCTCGACGAGGAAGTGAAATCCAATAGCGTTACAATGGATAGGTTGTAGTTCATAGGTTATAATATTATGTTTCACTATGATAGAGCTTAAGATGTGAGAGTATACAATATCAGAGTTGATCAAATGCGACGATCAAGGGCGTCAATCGGGTGAGTTTGATCAGAGGCTTTAATCAAAAGCGTCATCCCATCACAGAACACCACCTCCCTGCGTATATCACAGGAACAGAAGCAACTACAGCAGCAACAACAGTAGCGACAACAACAGCAGCAACATCACATTTCGAGGGCGACGCAGCTACTTACGATTCTGCTGCCCAGCTGTTTGTAGTCGGGACCTGCTCTCGCAGGACCCCACACGTCTTTGGAAATGATTGCGATGATCATGTCTGAGCTGAGAATTAAGTCACTCAAGATTACGTTGTTTAACCATAACTTTAGGTAGGTTAGTGTCATCGGGGCTCTGTGAATACTACTCATGAATGAAATCACACTCCTGTATGACCGACATTGTACTAATTTTGGTTGATCGAGTAGACGAATTCTTATCAACAACAGTGTCCTTAAATATGATGCTAAAATAAATGTTAACACTGGATTCAACGTGCACCTCTTAACCCCTCCCTCGCATTTACGACTAACGATTTGCATTTGCACTTAACATACATTATAGCCCATTAAAATGCTAATACTACCATATTATTATTCTAAAATGTGAATGCGATTCTTGCCCTGTACCCTCACAGTTAACATATCCTACCCCCGGTTCGATTGAACAGATAATTTACATACATATGTGTAGAGTGCGATTTTAATACTTCTAATGAGATTTAAATACCATACCTCCGTTTATGGTGCTATAAATTATAAAACCAGTTGATAATTTTTGTCGTTTAATGTTTAGTGTTATTGTTTATAGTGTTATCAGTTTACATATTTTTTAGGTGCAGGTGATTCCCGGTATACTTCGGTATTCTGGACCTGAACGTTGCGAAACGATTCATAACGAGGACCTTTCCCCACCAGAGCGCAATACGCTAATGAAAAGAACTCGGGGCGGCGGGAGCACGTGCTTCCATGGGCAGTGGGGGACAGGGCATGGTTGTATTGCCTACAGGTGCTACCGGGAAAATCTCCCAAGTTGCTCCGCCCATGGCTGGGTCAGGTAGAGGTCATAGAGGTGGGTGATGTAAAGACAGTGCGTCAACTAAGGGACAAGTGGTGACAACAAGATAGAGAGAGTTCGAGAAGGGAAGGCGAGACCAAGTGTGGGCGGAGGTTCACGCCGAGAATGAGAGAGGGGGAGGAACGAGGTTTGGGGCTGTGTTGGCTGGTTGCTGTCTCGTCGTCGTCGTTGCTATATCGTGACGCCCGGGGTCTGAAACCGCATTACAATTGTAACGATTCATTATTTCACGGGCTAATATTGGGTTTGTGCGATTATTTTACATATTCATACTGAATATTGCTATTTGATGCCATTGAGATGGAACATTCATCCAGCAGTGGGCAGCTTGATCCTAATACCACCAAAGTGTTATTCAAATAATTTTTATCCCATCCTGATCCTGCACCTTCCGCTTCACATATCCCACCATTGGTTGGCACGTCCAAATTACATACAGACATGTTACATACATACATGTTACATACTTACGAGCATAGTGTGATTCGAAGAGGACCACGGAATGATTCTAATAATTCGATTGAGATTCAAATATAACACTTCATTGTACGGTTTGCTAATCTATAACACTAGTTAATAATGTTATTTTATAGCGTTTTAATGTATAGCTTATAGGTTATATTGTTAGAGTTCACAAATTTAGAGTTTACTTTAACACTTGTTTACGGTAATTTGTATATTCTTCAAATGTATATGTTAATGTTTATAAATTATATTGTTGGAGTTCAAATTGTTAACATTCACAGTGTGAGAGTTAACAATGTAAGAGTATATCAAAGGCGTCGATCGAGAGCGTTGATCTGGTAGGTTTGATCAGAGTTTTTTTTAAATAAGCCGTTATCCTCTTACGGGACATCGACATGCTGCGTATATAACAGTAACAGAAGCAACTACAGCAGCTACGAAACCGTTCGATGGCAAAGCAGCGACTTCTGCTTCTGCTCCAACTGCCGCCCGGCTGTTTGTAGCCGGCTCTGCTCTCGTGGGACCCCACACGTCTATGGAAATAATTGAGATGATCTTATCTGAGCTGAGATTTGAGAGACTAAAGTTTACTTAGGTTAGTGTTTAGCGAATACTACTGAAGAATTAGCGCACACTCATTTTATGAGATTTGTCATAATTTTGGTTGATTAAGGAGAACAAGACACCTGCCATGTCGACGAATTCTTATCACATACAGTGTACTTAACTATATAGCTAAAATAACGTCAACACTCGAATAAACTTGCAGGTCTTAGCCCACTCATATCGTTGCTTCGCAAATGCTCGAGATTGAGTGTCCTGCTGTGGTCCGAATTATTTACTGCGATAACATTTGTAACAAGATGCTGCCGGTTAAGGGCACACTTATGCGACGGAGATCTTCCACCTGAAATTCTCTTAACATGTTTTTGCTATGAACATTGTAAAATAAATAAGGGACAAACATTTGTCAAAAATACGTTTTTATTCATCTTGCAATCATTTTTACGTTAAAACGCGAACCTAATGTTTAATATGTCCTACACCAACATGCTGCGTATATAACAGTGCTCTCGTGGGACCCCACACGTCTATGGAAATAATTGAGATGATCCTATCTGAGCTGAGATTTGAGCGTTATCGTTTATAGTATTACAGTTTACATGTTATAGAGTACAGTTTATCCCCGACATACTTCGGGATTAGGGACTGGTACGTTGATGAACGATTAACTACGGGGACCTTTCCCCTCAAGGAACACGTGTTAATCGGGTAGACAGCCAAGATGCTGCCGGTTAAGGGCACACTTGTGTGACGGAGATCCTCCACCTGAAATTATCTTAACATGTTATTGCTAGGAACATTATAAAATAAAGACTGTACAAACATTTGTTAAAAAAACATATTTATTCATCTGCAATCATTTTTACGTCAAAACTCGAAGGGAATATGTATTATGTTCTATGTTCACACATTTCCAGTACAATGCAAACCATTTCCGTTCTAGGAATACCAAAGCGTTAAAATATAATTCCCCATGATTTCCTTATTAGTTCACCACATCAATGTACATCCTGAAATCGGCTATCTAAAGTCGATTAATACCAATAAAAAAGCTATGTACTTGAAAAAACCGTTTAAAATGTTGAGTAAAGATGTACCTACAGGCGCATTCCAACTTTAGCTCAACAGGAACACCTAACGACTACAATTAAACCCTCTCACATCCAGTGCTCTTCACACCACTTCGGCAAGTAATCTGATAACATTACAAACCACCACTGGGCACGTAATTAAACTCACAAAAACTGTTAAACTAAAATGGTAAAAAATTACGCACAAAAGTACTCGATATGGCGTAATAGGTGTAACCACATGCAATATTATGTTTCAGTCACCCCGAGCTCTCTGGTTGACTCTCGAGCCACTCCATTACATCCAGCCATCTCTCGGGATCCAACTGCATGGGATCGAAGGTGGAAACATCTTCAGGACTAATTGCAGCACCTTGAATTTCAGCTTTTGATTTCAGTTTCCTATCATTGTGGACCTTCTGATGCCTGTTCCTGGTTGATGAGTCTGCAAATGTCTTCCCACACACAGGGCACAGGAATGGCTTCTCGCCCGTGTGTGTTCTCTGATGACTATGAAGATTTGATGACTTGGAAAATGTCTTCCCACACACAGGGCACAGGAATGGCTTCTCGCCCGTGTGTGTTCTCTGATGACTATGAAGATTTGATGACTTTGAAAATGTCTTCCCACACACAGGGCACACGAATGGCTTCTCGCCCGTGTGTGTTCTCTGATGACTCTGAAGATGTGATGACTGTGCAAATGTCTTCCCACACACAGTACACAGGAACGGCTTCTCGCCCGTGTGTGTTCTCTGGTGACTCTGAAGATGTGATGAGTGTGCAAATGTCTTCCCGCACACAGAGCACAGGAACGGCTTCTCGCCCGTGTGTGTTCTCTGGTGTCTCTTAAGATGTGATGGCCGTGAAAAGGACTTCTCACACACAGAGCAATTGAATGGCTTCTTGCCTCCGTGTGCGTGGGGCTGTGGAGAGCGTCTCTGCTCCATCTGAGCGTAGTAACAGCAGCGGTGCTATTGAGCCAAAAGTACGCTATCGGCCGAAAGGAGTTTTGGATTTTGTTAACTGCTAAAACAAGAACGACACTCGCGTCTAACCGAGACGCAAAAAAATACCGCTAATTTGACGACGAACACGTTTAAGAGTTTATCCGCGAAAATAGACACTTACTTGGAGATTCACGGTAGATCGACGTCTGGAACCCGTCTGAAGATGTCGCCACGAACTCTCCCGACGCAAAGTCGCCTAACTGTCGACACAGCAATTGTGCTCGCCAGTCTGCGTTGTCTCGCGATTGAAGGGCGATCAGCAGAGCGACGAGTCGAGCATCCAACCTCATCAAGTTCCCTCCCGAAATGGCATTGAGCTCTGCTTCTGAGCCGCCTTATAACTCCCCCCCAAGGATCCAATCCTTTGTCTTTCAGGATATTTGCATTCGATTGTTAATTTTGGAAGTTACAATCCGCATGTCTATTAACATACCGAAGGGTAATGTGCCCATTGTGCTTCATGCATGAATATGTAAGTTCATCTCAGTGTGTAACTGTGCGCCTATTTTGAATAAATGGAAAAATTTTGTCCTCGATTTAAAGTGAATGCAGAGAAATTAGCACGTAACTTTAGAAAAGGAAGAGAGCGGCCTTCTCGACGAGGGAGTGAAACCCAATAGGTAATATTCTTTTACAGCGTTACAATGGATAAGTTGTAGTTCATAGGTTATAATGTTATGTTTCACTATGATAGAGCTTAAGATGTGAGAGTCTACAATATCAGAGTTGATCAAATGCGACGATCAAGGGCGTCAATCGGGTGAGTTTGATCAGAGGCTTTAATCAAAGGCGTCATCCCATCACGGAACACCACCTCCCTGCGTTTATTGCAGCAACAGAAACAACTACAGCAGCAACAACAGCAGCGACAACAACAGCAGCAACATCACATTTCGATGGCGACGCAGCTACTTCCGATTCTGCTGCCCAGCTGTTTGTAGTCGGGACCTTCTCTCGCAGGACCCCACACGTCTTTGGAAATGATTGCGATGATCATATTTGAGCTGAGAATTAAGTCACTCAAGATTACTTTATATAACCATAACTTTAGGTAGGTTAGTGTCATCGGGGCTCTGTGAATACTACTCATGAATGAAATCACACTCCTGTATGACCGACATTGTAAAAATTTTGGTTGATCGAGTAGAACAAGTCACATGACATGTCCAGACGAATTCTTATCAACAACAATGTCCTTAAATATGATGCTAAAATAAATGTTAACACTGGATTAAACGTGTACCTCTTAACCCCTCCCTCGCATTTACGACTGACGATTTGCATTTGCACGTAACATACATTCAAGCACAGTGAAATGCTAATACGACAATATTATTATTCTAAAATGTGAATGCGATTCTTGCCCTGTACCCCCCACAGTTCACATATCCGACCCCCGGTTCAATTTAACAGATAATTTACATACACATGTGTAGAGTGCGATTGTAATACTTCTAATGAGATTTAAATACCGTACCTCCGTTTATGGTGCTATAAATTATAAAACCAGTTAATACTTTTTTGTCGTTCAATGTTTAGTGTTATTGTTTATAGTGTTATTAGTTTACATGTTTTAAGTACAGGTGATTCCCGCTATACTTCGGTATTCTGGACCTGAACGTTGCGAAACGATTCATAACGAGGACCTTTCCCCACCAGAGCGCAATCCGCTAATGAAAAGAACACGGGGCGGCGGGAACACGTGCTTCCATGGGCAGTGGGGGACAGGGCATAGTTGTATTGCCCACAGGTGCCACCGGGAAAATCCCCCAAGTTGCTCCGCCCATGGCGGGGTCAGGTAGAGGTCATAGAGGTGGGTGATGTAAAGACAGTGCCTCAACTAAGGGACAAGTGGTGACAACAAGATAGAGAGAGTTCGAGAAGGGAAGGCGAGACCAAGTGTGGGCGGAGGTTCACGCCGATAATGAGAGAGGGGGAGGAACGAGGTTTGGGGCTGTGTTGGCTGGTTGCTGTCTCGTCGTCGTCGTTGCGACATCGTGACGCCTGGGGTCTGAAACCGCGTTAAAGGCTAAATAAAAGAACCCTCTGCAGTCTGAGTCTGGAGTCATTACAATTGTAACGATTCATTATTTCAATGGCTAATATTGGGTTTGTGCGATTATTTTACATATTCATACTGAATTTTGCTATTTGATGCCATTGAGATGGAACATTCATCCAGCAGTGGACAGCTTGATCCTAATACCACCAAAGTGTTATTCAAATAAATTTAATCCCATCCTGATCCTGCACCTTCCGCTTCACATATCCCACCCTTGGTTGGCACGTCCATATTACATACATACATTTTACATTCATACATACTACATAGAGACATATCTCATGCATACATATTACATACAGACATGTTACATACATACATATTACATGCAGACATGTTACATACTCACGAGCATAGTGTGATTCTTAGAGGACCACGGTGTGAAGCTAAGAATTCGAATGAGATTCGAATATCACACTTGTTTATGATGTTATTTTATAGCGTTATAATGTATCGCTCATAGCTTATGTTGTTAGAGTTCACAACATTATAGTTTACTATAACACTGGTTTGTAGTGATATTTTAAAGCGTTACAATATATAGCTCATAGTTTTAAGGTTATATTGTTAGAGTTTATAATGTTAGAGTATACAATGTGAGTTTACAATTTGAGAATTTGTGGACGTGCCCTGTTCTCGTGGGACCCGACACGGATTTGGAAATAATTGCTATGATCATGTCTGAGCTGGGATGAGCGACTACTGTTTACTTTGTTTAATCATAACTGTGTGCAGGTTAGTGCCATCGGGGCATAGTGAATACTACTCATGAATGAACTCATACTTCTTTCGGATATAAATTGAAATCATGTTGGTAGAACAAGTCGCCTGTCTTTTCTAGACGAATTGTTATCTTCAAGTGCGTCCGTAAATATACTGCTAAAATACACAGCATATGGAAGGCTGCCTTGTTGGGACGATGTAGTTTGGCTAAGGCGCTGTGGCCGGGTGATGACACGGATTCTGAAACAATGGAGTTAAACACTCGCTGCTTGGCCCCGTCGACAGCAGCGAAGGCTGTCATATACCGCCCCATTTACGAGTTGGATGTATAATGTGTATAGTTGAAGGTGCTAGGTGTTGTCTTCTTCTAACAGCTACAAACGTGCGTGTTTTGTCTGTTTTTAGGATTTGTCCATTGATGTTGTTATTTTTAAAGCGGCGTTTTTTGTTGAGTTCTGTCACTTGAGTGTTGCAGTTTTTCTAAGAATTCGTCACGTGAGCGTGGTGTTTTGCTTCTGGGAATTTCTCTTTGTCACAATTAGTGATTGTTATAATAATTGTAAAGATTCATAATCTCATGAGTTTCTAATGGGTTTGTGCGTGTATTTATATAAATATATTCCGTATTGTTACTCGATGACATCTAGCAGTGAAAATCGTGATTGTAATAAGACCATGTTGTAATTGTAATAATTTTTATCCGATCCTTGCACGTACACTATACATACATATGAGCAGAGTGCGATTCCAATACGACCAGTGTTCTTCTAATGATATTATAATACTTTACCTCCGTTTATATGGTTATACATTTAAACACTGGTTTATAATCGTTTAATGTTTAGTGTTATCGTTTATAGTATTACAGTTTACATGTTATAAAGTACAGTTTATCCCCGACATACTTCGGAATTAAGGACTGGTACGTTGATGAACGATTAACTACGGGGACCTTTCCCCTCAAGGAACACGTGTTAATCGGGTAGACAGCCAAGATGCTGCCGGTTAAGGGCACACTTGTGTGACGGACATCCTCCACCTGAAATTATCTTAACATGTTATTGCTAGGAACATTATAAAATAAAGACCGTACAAACATTTGTTAAAAATACGTTTTTATTCATCTGCAATCATTTTTACGTCAAAACTCGAACCGAATATTTATTATGTCCTATGTTCACACATTTCCAGTACAATGCAAACCATATCCGTTCCAGGAATACCAAAGCGTTATAGTATCATTCCCCATGATGTCCTTATTAGTTCACCACATTTGTTCACTGTGCGTCTATGTTGAAGTCAAGGCCATATATCCAACGAACGCGTCATCAATGTACATCCTGAAATCGGCTATCTAAAGTCGATTAATACCAATTCAAAAAGCTATATACTTGAAAACTAAAACGTTTAAAATGTTGAGTAAAGATGTACCTACAGACGCATTCCATCTTTAGCTCAACAGGAACACCTAACGACTACAATTGAACCCTCTCACAACCAGTGCTCATCACACCACTTCGGCAAGTAATCCGATAACATTACAAACCACCACTGGGCACGTCATTAAACTCTCACAAACTGTAAAACTAAAATGGTCAAAATTACACACAAAAGTACTCGATACGGCTTAATAGATATAACCACATGACGTAATTTTTTTTCAGTCACCCCGAGCTCTCTGGTTGACTCTCGAGCCACTCCATTACATCCAACCATCTCTCGGGATCCAACTGCATGGGATCGAAGGTGGAAACTTCTTCAGGATTCATTCCAGCACCTCGAATTTCAGCTTTTGATTTCAGTTTCCTATCATTGTGGACCTTCTGATGCCTGTTCATGTTTGATGAGCGTGCAAATGCCTTCCCACACACAGGGCACAGGAATGGCTTCTCGCCCGTGTGTGTTCTCTGGTGACTCTGAAGATGTGATGAGTGTGCAAATGTCTTCCCACACAGAGGGCACAGGAATGGCTTCTCGCCCGTGTGTGTTCTCTGATGAGTTTGAAGAGTTGATGACTGTGCAAATGCCTTCCCACGCACAGGGCACGGGAACGACTTCTCGCCCGTGTGTGTTTTCTGGTGGTTTTGAAGAGTTGATGAGTGTTCTCTGGTGTCTCTGAAGATGTGATGGCCGTGAAAATGCCTTCCCACACAAAGAGCAATTGAATGGCTTCTTGTCTCCGTGTGCGTGGGGCTGTGGAGAGCGTATCTGCTCCATGTGAGCGTAGTAACAGCAGCTGTGTTATCGAGTCAAAAGTACGCTATCGGCCGCAAGGATGTTTAGCGTTGAGTTTGAGATTTTGTTAACTGCTAAAACAAGAACGACACTCGCGTCTAAACGAGACGCAAAAAAATCCCGTAAATTTGACGACGAACACGTTTAAGAGTTTGTCCGCGAAAATAGACACTTACTTGGAGATTCACGGTACATCGATGTCTGGAACCCGTCTGAAGATGTCGCCACGAACTCTCCCGACGCAAAGTCGCCTAACTGTCGACACAGCAATTGTGCTCGCCAGGCTGCGTTGTCTCGCGGTTGAAGGGCGATCAGCAGAGCGACGAGTCGAGCGTCCAACCTCATCAAGTTCCCTCTCGAAATGGCATTGAGCTCTGCTTCTGAGCCGCCTTATAACTCCCCCTCTAGGATCCAATCCTTTGTCTTTCAGGATATTTGCATTCGATTGTTAATTTTGGAAGGTACAATCCGCATGTCTATTAACATACCGAAGGGTAATGTTCCCATTGTGTTTCATGCATGAATATGTAAGTGCATCTCAGTGTGTAATTGTGCGCTTATTTTGAATAAATGGGATTAGCGCTGGAAAAACACGTTCCCCATGCCCTACATTGTCCTCGATTTAAAAAGAATGCAGCCCCGTGGCGTTGCCAAAAACCGCCAAGCTTCGGAAGTGATCACGTACAGACGCGTAGTGACCACACTTGCAACACAATCACTCTAACATCAGTAACCAAAATCCGATTTGGTACATGGTCTCCGCTTGGTCTGGTTTGTATCCGTCATCACCCCGAGTTTATTGCTCCACCTCGGTGGTCTCCTTCTTTCGTTCGTACGTTGATGTCGATGCCGACAACAAACTAAAATTTCACACCATTGGAACCCCATTTGCCTTTTGGCGTCATCTGGTCCAACACCATGTGAGACTAGGCTCTAAGGAAAGCTGTCTCGGGTGTGGACCAATCAACTTCAAGGACAGTGCATACATTATCAGAGTTATGTTTTTTGTTTGCATTTTGATTGCAGGTATTGTGGTCTATGCAAGCATGACTCCTCGTAAAAAAGATGTCAGTTTTGTTGCCAGATTAAAGGGTAAAAAACCAATTATCATATTTTTTACTGGCAAATGAGGTACCAATGGTGTAAATGCTTACCCCTAGCTCTCATACTCTGATGGTGCATTGTCTTTGAGTTGTGCGCCTTTTAGCGTCATCTGGTCCAACCCATGTGAGACTAGGCTCTAAGGAAAGCTGTCTCGGGTGTGGACCAATCAACTTCAAGGACAGTCCATACATTATCAGTTATGTTTTTTGTTTGCATTATGACTGCAGGTATTGTGGTCTATGCAAACATGACTCCTTGTAAAAAAAAGGTGTCAGTTTTGTTGCCAGATAAAAGGGTAAAAAACAAAAATTTCACATTCAGGTGGTCAAGCCACGCAACCACGTCAACGAGCAGCGGAGCGGACCGACACTCCGACGTCTCCTTCGTATTTGTGGATCGGGAATTGTGTCATTATGCGGTCTGTCCTGGATAACCGCAGTCGCATGTTACTGCAGAGTTTTTAATTTTCCATTTGCGTGTCAGGTGTCCCGCGTCTACTGCAATGATTTGTATGGTGGATGCGGATTTAGGGTGGACCGTGAGCAGCTTGGTGGAATATAAAACCCCAGGGAATTTCTGCGTCGGCTTCTTAACAATAAGGCCGTGTTTGTTTGTGAGTTCTTTTGAACTCCATTCAGCTCTCCGAGCTTCATCGGGGGTTTGAATCCGCATTTTTTAAGGGCAAGCACATGGGGTCCAATAGGGGCTTGCCGCGTGACTTCAAGCGATGGCAAGGGATGTTACCGAGGTCCTCATGAATTGGGGAAGCCGACTGTTTTCCCTCGACTCACAGGGCTTCCCCAGTAGGTGTTGTATATGTAGGCCTTTTCCATTAATTTATATTAAGAATATTTCTGCCAATTTTTTTAAAAGTTATAAATCTATAAAAAAAAAATGAAACCAACACCCGCCCACCTCCCACAAGCCACACCAAGCATCTGGAGGTCATAACGACGATCTGGGAAACCTACAGATTGTCAAATGACCATATGACACGACCCCCACGAACGTTTTGGACGTTTCACAAACTTCTCCAGACACAGACACAGACCAGGGGCAAACGGACATTACAACTGGCGTTTTCTTTAACGGTAAAAGTTCGAATAAGTCGACATTATATACTGCAGTCTACACATTAGTGGCTTCATTATAACTTCTTTTATTTCACCCTTATTCACCTCATATATTGTTTATTATTGTATCTTTCTATCTACGTGACTTTACCATGAGAGCCAAAAAATACGAATGCCGGCTGTCAAGAAAGCTTAAGTGAAAACTTAGTTACATCTCCAACCTCAGGATATCAAAATATAACTCGAGAATAAAAAGCATGGATCCCTGGATACAGACAGGGAGCAAAGGTTAATAAAACCCTTTAAATACCGGAGGTAACAACTAATGGTACATTACAAATCTTGGTTAAACATAAACCAAATAATAATTATGAGGTATTAGACCTAGGGTAACTCAAAAAAGATACAAGGAAAAAAGGTCAAACACACAAGACCAGATAATATGTATTTCATTTGTCTTCCAACAATTTGACACAACAAATGGTAGCAATAAAATACGTATGAAGGGATGGTGCCTCCCTTGAGATAGCAAACACCACGAAGGCAGAGGGGGGGGGGGGCGGGAATGCAAACAACAACATTAACATGGTGATCGAAAGTAGCCAGTCAAAGGTAAAAAAAGGGGGGGGGGGGCAACCAGGTGGCTGTGGCAACGGGAGGAGAACGAGAAAGAGGGTATCTGTTTCTTTCGCAAGAGACGCGCAGAGGGGAGAGCATTTAACATATAAGTGTAATAAAGGACTCTTTCACTGTGTCTGTCTCCGTTGTCCTTTATTCGGGTTCTTTACAACTTGTCCCACACGGCCCTCGCTCAGAGCCTCCCCGCTTGGCAGCTCGACGCTGCCGTCGCTCCCGTAGCCTTTCTCCACTCCGATGCAGCTCTGCTGCAGGTTCCCTTGTACAGTCCTCCGGCTGCTCTCACTGCAGCTCCACCGCTGCTCCTCGTTCCTACCTTGCTCGGTCACCACTGGCCGACGGTGCCGAGTCTCACCGTGTGGCGATCTCGCCACTCTCCACTCTCCGCCCTGCGTGGCCTCACCCTGTCTCTATTCCCGTACTCTCCTCCCGTCTCTTCCGGTTCTCCCCCTTAAGACCTCATCCCTCTCTCTCACGTGACCTAACCCCTCCCCCCGTGACGTCATATCCGCGAGGCCGTTTACGCCCGCATTACAGAAGCAAAGACACAGATCATGCAACTCAGTACTGCGAGGGGCAGGTTCCACGGCATGGCCTCGAGATCAACAATGGGTGTCGTGTCTCGCAGAGAAGAGGGGCGAGGTGTTGCTAAGTGCCGAGTTCGGCATGGACCGACAGAGTATTGCTGAAAGTTTGATTCTACATTCATTTTGATGTTTTGAGTCGCTTGCAGAGTCAAGGATTGCGATGAGTTGTATTGTACTAAGCTATCAGAGTCGTGTAAGAGGTGTGCGAATACAATTTACAAGTTGTGAGAGTGAGTGATCCAGCCAGCGACGAGCAGCTCACCGCAAGAGCCCTCTTGGAGGAAGGACGGACAGCACGAAAGTTGAGCAACGAAAAGGCGACGCCCTGAAGGAAGGGTGGGAGAGGCACCACTGAATGCCAGCGTGAAGCTGGCAGCTGCCTGCCAAAGAAGAGAAAACGGAGCAGTGGAAAGAGCCGGAGCAATCGCAGCCCTGAAGTAAGGGCGGAAAGCGCCAAGTATCGACCAAGCGAACATCCAGAGGACCAGCAGGAGCGGACGAGCTGCGAGTGCATCATGCATCGCCAGAGAGCACGGGGCAGGCGTGCAACCAGCTCTACCGAGCAAGGGTGTCTGCCACCAGCGAACGAGTTGCGAGCACATCGTGTATTGCCAGAGAGCACGGCGCCGGAGATAGTGCACAACCAGCGCCACCGGGCGGGGGTGTCAGCGGCCAGCGGTCGAACTGCGAGCGCGATCAAGCACCTTCAAAGACAAGCGTCGTGTCGACTCAGCTCATCCAGCAGTGAAATGAGCCTGCAGCTGCTGCCGAGCGAAAGAGAGCGAGAGCGCCGTGTGTTTGACGCGCCCAAACACACACACACGACTCATCGCTCAGCAGGGAACAAACACATTTTTGGTACAAGAAACGCCCAAAACTCAAAGAGTTGAGCAAGGAGACAATCCACCAACACACGCACATATCTGGAATAATTAGAGTGCTCCAAAAGTTATCCTTGTGTTTCACCCATTGAGTTACGTGGATACGGTCGTTTAGAAGTATTTTAGTCATACTTTTTGTTAATTGCCTAACTGTAGCAATGAATGCATTGATGAAACAAAACATGTATAAACATATACGTTAGGATCGACACACTCACAGGGATACTATTGTGTTAAAATCTTTATTTTGATCACAGAATCTTGCCCGCGAATTTATTGAAGCCTTAGCCAATTGATAAGCATTTGCTAGACAGACAGGCATACTTCCGCACAACATTGTTCCAAGACATTTCGTTAATTGCATAATCTTACCAATGAATTAATTGAGGTCTACTTTTGCTTTCGGGACATGTTTCTTTATTGCTGTTTGCATGAAAATTGTCACATTATATGCTCGCTTTACTCTGAGGAATTAGCCAATTGATATGTTACCCAGTTTACAAACGTAATCATTGCGGGTCAAAGGTACGGATCAATGAGGAAGGCATCTCCAGGAGTACTGTGTTGACATTCCAAGCATAAGAGTTCGCTTATTAGAGTGTTCTGTTTTTGTTGGAAGATTAAAGTTGCTTAACATAGAAGAGTCTGAGTGGTGCCTTCCTAAGTTCATGCATAATAATATTAAATATAAGAACTGTATCCTGCGGAGAGATCTGAATTTTGAGACCTGACATAAAACACGAAAACATAATCAGTAAAAGTTAAAACGAGAATCATTGTATTATCCCGATTGAAAATATAACCCTAGACAACGAAGCTGAGCTTAATCAGCATACTTACAATCACACTTGCATAACTTCATACAATTAATTGTCTTATCCCGATTGATAATACAACCCTAGACAACGAGGCAGAGCCTAATTATCACAATTTGTACACATTAGCATAATTACCTAAATTAGCATAATTTCGGATAACTACACATTATAGTTATTTTATTATTATTATTCATTTTTCAAGACCCGACATATACAATACTGGGAAACCGTGGGATATCCCCGCTAGGGGCCCCTCGGGTAAAAAAACAATGGTACCAGGTGACCCCCCCACGAGACCCTACGTGGGTGCGTGTGTGTGTTAGTGGGGGTGTGCGTGCGTTTGTGTGGAGGGGGGCGAGGGGATGGCGGAGCCGGAGGAGTTGCTCCGCGGTTGTGGCACCACATATGCATCTCTACCATGTTATTTTATGCAGGATTCAGTTTTTATTCCGTTTTCTACATAAATTTACATGAGCTCTTTTGTGTATCTCTCTTATGGGTGTCAAACAGAACGGTCTTCATGTGTTCCAGTTGAATATGGTTATGTGGAATGTCGTACATGGCATTGTTGGCGTCGTTATAATAAATGCTGAACACGCGATGCATGCTCGCAGGATGTGCAGATATATTGATGTTATTCGACTGCGTGGGATGTATCCTGTGTAAAAAAATGATTGCAGCAATGTCTGAAACACAGAACATTTCAAAATTAAGCATTAATATCATATTTATAATCTGGAAATATATTTTGTGCGTGTTTTACTGTAATACGTCTTTGAATGTCTTTGTTTCCTTCAAAACAATCAACCAATACCTATATATATAACCGATGAAACGCACTAAAACGTTGCCTATCGTGGGTTTTCTTACCATGGGTTTGACCATTCAAGCAAATTGTATTGAATAATAGTTAATCAATTGCACCTCTGTGGTTTGACGATCAACAGTTAAGCCTAAAGATTCCCGTATGCATCGCAAACAAGTACAGCACTGTGGTGATGCTGATGTGGATGAATACACACTCATCTTGTCTCCCTTGCAGCCCATTACCGGTCCCAGTTCACGTGTTCTCAGCATCCAGAGTGACAATGTGGGTCAGGTTTTGTACTATTACATGTACGTGTAGACTACTGTGCTCTGCATGATTTGTTTTCATTCTATACATGTACTGTACAAGTGGGCATGAGAGTTAGATGTCCTTTGCATTGCACTCTCATGCCTTTGGATTGCACTTTCATGCTCACATGTCCTTTGGATTGCACTCTCTCTTGCCTCGTGGAGGCCATTTTTCGATCTTAAATTAACATGCTAATCTCTCACATTAACATAGCCACTTCCGTGACCTCGTCGAGGAGGCCGCTCTTCGATCTTACAGTTACATGCTAATTTCTCACATTAACATCACTAGCCCCGGCCACCTCTTTATGATCCTTGGGCTACAACCATTTCAAACTTTTTAAAACAATCTGCCTTAGCAGTAGATAATGCTTTCACATCTGATGACGGACGCTTGTGTTGCGCCCGAAACGTCGTGATTTATTATATTTTAATTAATTCCTAGTTTCCCCAATATGCCTTTGAATATACAGATCGCGAATGTGCCAATTGTAAATATTTTAAAGAACGTAACCCCCGTTTTTGGAAAAATGTGGGTGTACAAAAGTGTAAATGAACAAAATTAACGATGGCAATGACAACGTGACACCTTTAAATAACAAGAAATACAAATATATGCAAATTGTATGCATTCTTTAAGGTTTTCAGATGTGTTTTGTTCATCAGAAGTATTTAATTAGCAAAAACGTCCTGTTTAAAGCCACAGAATAGCATAACATCACGAAGAAAGATTGATTTAAATGCTGGGTTTATGACTCAATTTGCTCTGGTTTGTGTGTCCATGTTTTGGGAAATCCTCTGTTAAATGTCGTTGGTTTTATCTAATGTAAGTCGTTGTTGATAATACTGGATCATCTTAATGAAAATTATCATGCCCCCTGCTATAGATGGACAGATTCACTTTCTGGCAGAAATAAGACATTAATATATTTATGAATATATTCAACATGAACTTGAAACGCATACAGTATTAACGTGGCACACGGTACACCAACCCTGAATAATGACATAAATCATTGCAAAAAGTGGTCTGTGTAAAATACCGTTGAGGAACGTCATAATGGCTTGATTACAACAAATTCTACCATACTCATAAAGTCCACCCCTGGAATATCATCTAGATGTGGTGATGCTATGAATACCCAAAGTCTCTGTTGCGTGAAACAATAGCTATTCTGCCTTTAATAGTGTTATTACGTTAAGGATCCATATACCAATGCCTTGTAGCCATTTTTGGTAAATGGATCCTTCTTCTGAATTTAGTACTGGAGTTAAGTTTGTAGTTATTACACATTTTATAAATCAGTTTGGAGAGTAGCAAAAACATTGGTAGGCGTTGAAGCCAAAAAACTAAATAATGCCAATAATGTGTATTTATATTGTAACCTTAACTCAGTGATAACAGAGTTCTGTATACAATGATAATCTAATAAGGTGAGCAAAACCTTACATTAGCAACAAAATAATAAAATGGAAGGCAAGCACTCAGTAACACAATCAGGAAAAAGCCTTGCTGAACAGGAAGGAACGTTGAGATTCCGAATGAAGCAGAATACTCTCTCAGCAGAGTGCTTCAGAGTCTGGGGGCTATGCAGACACAAGCCCAGTCCCACAGAATGTGGATCCTAGACCTCGGAACACAAAGGATACCTCAAATATATCTACGTAACATAAGAGTAATGCGATTCACGATGGTAGATTGGTGCTAAATTATTCAGGGCCTTTAGGGTAATAATAATACTTTTTAAAACCCAACTGACACTGTACTAGAAACCAGTGGGTATGTAGTAACATATCAGATGTCACTGAGCGGTACTGGCCCTAGAGAAGCATGGCATGCGATGTATTCGCATCGCGGACATCACACATGTATTGACATCATGGATGTCACTGTGTGATGCCGGCTCTAGTGAGGCACGGCGTGCAATGCATTGCCATCGCATACACTCTGTATATGTGGGTGTAGTACCAGCCCTGGAGGGGACTTGGTGAGCGCTGGGCGACAGCATTGAGAGCACCACGCTCTGCGTGTGGTGCTGACCCCTACAGGGTAGGGTGTGAGAGTGCAGGCCACGGGAACGAGGTTACTGTGGGCCATGGCACTCTGGTTGACCCCGAAGGACACGTGACCAATAAAGTATACATGGCGCCCCAGGTGGGGGCTAAGGGGTGGTCACGTGTCGGGAGAAGGTTCTACGGGAAGGATCGAGAGATTGTCCAGAGGTCTTTCGAAGGTGGACCTGGCTAAGGGCGGGGCCGGCCATGACTCGGGAGCATATAAACCGGCTCCCATGGGGACCGGTGTTCAGCATTGCTACCGTCATCTGAAGATCTACGTTCCACGTCAAGGAAGAGTCACCAACACGTGGACCTGGTAGCGAGCCAGGGTCCGTCCGTTGTAGCTAACTCCCAGTGTGTGTTAGTGTAGTTTAGCCTGGTGGTCCACCACCAGAGGCTGTTGTCTGGTAAAGGGGCAGTAACCCCTTTGTGTTATGTGTTGGTTGAAATAAATGTGTTGCCTCCAAGATGTACGTCTGCGACTCAGTTGAATCAACTACAGGTATGTATAGCATTCTGGCCGCAAAATTCTTAACAAACTACAGCCTGTACAGCAACGAAGATGCAGCGTCATAATGTAAGGCACTATAGTAATCAAGGTGTGGGAGGTGAAGTAGCATCGCGTCAGGGAAGGTGTAGTGGTACAGCAGTGGAGTGGGTATAGTGATACAGAAGTGGAGTAGGTATAGTGATACAAAAGTGGAGTGGGCATAGTGATACCGAAGTGGAGTGGGTTTAGTGCTATAGCAGTGGATAGTGTATAGTGGTACAGCAGTAGAGAATGCAAGGCACTACATTAATCAAGGAGTGGGCAGATGTCGTGGTACAGCAGTGGAGTGGGTATAGTGGCACAGCAGTGGAGTGGGTATAGTTGTGCAGTATTGGGGAAGGTATAGTGGTAATAGTGGTGTAGAGGAGTAGTGTGATGACATGCCGTCATGGACGCCATGAGGCGTGATTACGTCATGTCATGAGCGCCGTAGGCAGATATCGAGAAGAAAGGGGGCTGGTCCGAGAAAGGGGGAGGAGCCGCCCAAGGGGGTACTTAAGCGGGGCCCCGTGACGAAGGCAGGGTCATTGTGTGAGAGTGGGATGTGGATCGGGTGAAGGAGCCGAAGGGATAGCCGGGAGTGTGGCTCAAGGAAGTCCGTTAAGAGCCGGCTAGAGTAAGTGGGGTGCTGCTCTCCTTGGTCAGGCGGTGTTGGCTGAACCCTCATCCCGACTCGAGTGAGAGAGCCCAAGGACATAGCCGAGGCAAGGACGAAAATAGAACCTGGGGTCCACGTGAAGGACCGAGTGTAGGGATACCTACCTCTGGTGTGAGCCTGTGTATATCCAAGTGTTAATAAACGCCGGAAGCCCTTTAAGAAGTTCCGTCTCTGAGTCGTCTATGCCACAACAACTGGTGCCAGAAGTGACTCCAGCCTTCGTCGCCATTTCAAAGTTGGCGGCGAAATGCAAGACCCAACCTGTGGCAAGATCAGACGACGAGGACAGCCCGGAAGAGGTCTCTCCGCAATGTCCCCGGAGTCCGGGGCCCAGGAGATGCGTCCCGTGGAGCCCGGCTGACCAGAGCAGTAGTAGGTGGCAGCTGGCGTCTCCTCGCGGGCCAGTTTGGGCAACTGTTGCAGTCGGCGGCGCAGCTTGTCGCCGCGATGTCGGAGGTGGGAACCCAACTGCGCACACCCAGCACTTTTTGGAACAGGATCGGCGGGTTCCAGCCATTTGACCTCCCGGCACTTTCTAATTTGGCGCCATTCTCCAAACAGACGCGACAAAGCAATTGGGCGCCATTTATTCGTGAGATGCGACGCAGCAGCCGGGCACCATTTTTTCACGTCCACTGGCTGCTTCCGCTGTGGCCAGCAGGGTCACATCGCGTTGGGCTGCTGCAACACTCCTGTTGCCTTCAGAGGACCCCGTCTTCCTCCTTCTCCACATCGGCATTGTCATCCGGGCCTCAGGCGAGTCGCGACATATTGGTCACTCAGCCGTTCCCCTCACCTCACACATCTAGTGGGGATAATGTTCATAATCACCTGAACAACACTAAGAGTTCTGAAACTCTCAGTGTTCACATGCCGCTATTCTCCAGGTGGCCGAAGCGGGTCCATGAATGGGATGCGCTCACGCATAGGGTTTTGGCGGCCGCGGCGGGTTCCTCCGCGGTCACTGGTTTTGTCCAGGGGGTGGAAGTCCGGATTTTGGTGGACATGGGTGCGTCGGCCACCATTATATCTGAATGCATTTTTGTGTTGTTGCCACACAGCGTTGGTCCATTGAGGCCGGTACAAGGGACTTGTGTTGCGCAAATGGTGGTAGTTTGGGTATATTGGGCCACATAGTTGCCTCTATTTGAATTGGTGAGATTGCATTGGTAGGGCCTGTCTTAATCTTTAAGGTATTGGCAGTGCCATGCCTTTTGGGTACGGATTTCTTGGCCAAAATGCCCATTAAAATACTTATCGACCAGGGTCGTGTGGAGATGCCATCGGGCCGTCGGTTGAACTTCTTGCGTTCCCCCACCGTGTTGTCCCATTTTGCCGCCAGTGTGCAAGCTTTGTCTTGGGATTCCATGACCATTCCACCTGGGCCACAGCTATTGATACCCCTATGGTTTCGCAAACCCCTGGATTTGCAGACGCCGGGAGGTGGGCATACCTTTGTCCCTATTTAACTACTTTTCTAGAACATCATGCTTGGTGGGTGCCCTGACAGTTGTGTCGAAGGACCAGGAACCTTTTAACAAATTCTTAATTCGGGTCCTTTGTGGGTAACTATTCTGGCCTACACCGTTTTGGTGCACACGACCCCAGCTCTTCCACCCAATGACGTCATGCAGGCTGGGAGAGATGTGGCTGGTGTGGTGCAGGATGGGAAGCCCAACGCATCTTAAATTGATACGCTGTGTCGTGAAAATGCCCTCTTGTCCCCCGAAGAGCGCCAGAGGCTCCATGCATTTATTGAGTGATTCTCCGATATCTTTTGTCAAAGCAAATTCGATTTCGGACGCACGCCCAAATTCAAGCATCACATTGACACGGGTAATTCGCCCCCTATTCGGCTTAATTCACATCATTTCAGCCCCAGGAAAAAGGATCATGTCCGCCTGGCTGTTGACGAGATGTTGGCAGCGGACATTATCTCTCCTTCTATTAGCCCTTGGCGCACCCCCATTGTGTTAGTCAAGAAACGGGATGGGAGTCTCCGTTTTTGCGTAGACTTTCATAAATTAAACATGATTTCGGTGGCTGATGACTACCTCCTTCCCTGCATGGACAATTCCCTCGATGCCCTCTTCGGTGCGTGGTTCTTTTCAACCCTAGATTTGTTTTCTGGCTTCTGGCAATTGCCGTTGGATGATGCCTCCAGACAAAAGACACCGTTCTGCACACCCCAGGGCCTGTTCCAATTCATTCGGCTTCCTATGTGCCTCCATTCGGCCCCGGCCACCTTCCAATGCCTCATGGAGATCGTTTTTGTGGGTTTCCATTGGGAATCTTTCTTAATTTACTTACAGGACGTCATTGTTTTCAGCCGTACGTTTGACGAACACTTGCATCATTTGGAGTCGGTCTTCGTCAACGTGTGTGCTTGAAATTTATACCCCAAAGATGCCATTGTTTCAGCCATCAGTGAAATATTTGGGCCATATTGTTAGCACGTAAGGTTTCACCATGGACCCTGAAAAGACAGCTTGCGTTTGGGCGTGGCCGACTCCCACATCTGTTGCCAAGGTACGCAGCTTCATTGGCTTCGCCTCGTACTACCGCCGCTTTGTGCGCAATTTTGGTACGGTAGCAAAACCACTACACACGCTGTCCCCAAAGGGCCAGAAGTTTCACTGGGGAAAGGAGGCAAAATCAGCATTTGTTGCACTTCGAGCATCCCTGGCTGATGCGCCACCCTTGGGGTACCCCGACTTCTCCCTGCCCTTTGTGCTTGACACTGATACCAGTGACACAGGCTAAGGGGCTGTATTGGCCCAGGTGGTCATATGGCAGTCGTGCTTTGTCTCCCACGGAGCAGCGATACTGTGTGACTCGTAGAGAGCTGCTGGCCATCGTCTTTTTCGTGCAATTATATTGGCCATACTTGTACGGCAGGCGGTTCATCATTCGGACAGACCATGCGGTCTGCAATATTCCTTATGGATTGATCAGCCCTCGGGTTAGCTGTCCTGCTGGCTCGAGGTTCTGCAGGAATATACTTTGGATGTCATCCACAGGAAGGGGGCACACCATGGTAATGCGGATGGGCTGTCCAGGTTGCCTACATTCGGCAGGTGGGTGTGCACCATGGGTTCGGGTCACTGCAGGGCCCCAATTGTAACCGTGGCCCAGTTGGTAGCAACGGTCAACGCGCCTCCTCCCCTCTAGGTGTACCGCTGCCTGCAGATTTTGGCCTGGGTCTCCATCTGAAGGAATGGTCGAGGTTGCAAATGGGAGGATTCCTCTCTGCTGAGGCTGCATCGCCGGGTTGAGTAACACGCCCAGATTTCCGCTCCGTCGGCCACCTCGGTCATTGCCATGCACGACGGCCTTCATATGCATTGGGACACAGAGCTGGAACGATATTGTGTAGTGGTGCCCACTGCACTACGAGGGAAACTGATTCATGCTCTGCCGTGATCGGGCCCTGCTACAGTCCATCTGGGTTTCTCGTGTTAATGAGCTTGTGGCCCTTGACATTTTGGGCCCATTTCCAACCTCCCAATGGCGCCACAAGTATCTCATAGTCGAAGTTGAGTACCTCACGTGCTGGCCTATGGCATGGCCATTGATGGACCAATCGGCCTCGTCCATCACCGAGGCCTTTGTGTAGGGTTATGTCCTGGATAAGGGTGCTCCCGAACAACTGCTGACCAATCTGAGTCAGAATTTTTCTTCTCGGTTGCTCAAGGAGATCTGCGACCAGGGGCGGTTTCTTCATTAGGGCGATTGGGCGACGCACCGCCAATCTCATTCAACCACAGAGTTACGCGAGCCGTTACTGTGCCTCTGGATATAGTCCAATCAGCGTCATGTCACGTTCTGTGGAGTACCGCCTCTTTTTGGGCGATTTCACTCTGGCTGAGAATCGCCCAGAGTGTTCCCATAGACTTACATTCAAAGATGTTTTTTTTTCGAACGGCGGGCGCTGCAATGCATTCTCTATGGCTTCCGGGAGGGCTCGCACTAACGTGCTTACGTCATCATATGTAAGCACGTTTCAGTCAACGATATTATTTGTCGCCACCTAGTGGAATCTTTAATAAAAGAAACTGAGTGGATTGTAATAATAGTGAGTATAGAAACAAACAAGATGTACTGTAAGAGTCACTTTATTTTTCATTAATATTAAAGAAGTGAAGTTGCCTTTACATGCTTAAGCTGTTAATTTATCCATTGCATGGGTGGACCTTATCCTTATCAATCATCCAGACATTTGCCCCCCCTGAGAGATTTTGCAGGAGCCGCCACTGTCTGCGACTTCCTCGATACCAAGAAAATACATACTTCGCCCTACCATCCTCAGTCCAACGGAATGGTCAAACGGTTGAACCGCACCTTCACGTGCATATTGTGCCACCACGTGTTTATGTCCCAGTCGGACTGGGACCTGTTCATTCCAGGGGTCCTGGCCACGTACAGGTTGGTCCTTCATGCCTCAACGGGGTTCTCGTCCTTTTATTTAATGTACGAGAGGGTACCGGAGCCCCCGATGCACGTCCAAATGGACCTGGGGTCATTTAAGAAAGGGATATGTGGTGCCTGCTTCAATGAAGGTCGTGCTCGCCAGGCTGCGTGAGGCACGACAAGTGGCCATCGACAATTCGGTCAGCCGGAAAGTGACTTGCCAAAGCACCAGGGTTCCAGGCTTCCATTGGTAAAGGGCCAAAAAACTTGGCTTCCTTTCCCCCAGGTGCCCGTTGGGACGTCCCCAAAATTGCATCGCCCTTGGCAAGGCCCTGTTGAGGTCGTGGAGGTCCGCCGGCCGCAGTGTGTTCGCATCCGCTTCAGTCGCCGGCACTGGATTGTCCACCCGTCGTGGTTGAAAAGATATGTGCCAGCTAGCAGGGTTGATTCATCTCCACTTCCTGAGTGGCCAGTGCTTGATGCATCCGACGAGCCGGGCCGCCCTGGCTGGGATGCTTTGCGGTGTGAAACCCCTGTCTGTGTGCCCAAAGAACCTCCCCGAGTAGCTCCCGAGGAGCCTCCTGTTGGGTACCCGGCGACGAGGCTGACGTCGACGGATGCTTGCCTGCTCGGACACCCGACGCTGCCCGCAGGAACGGACCGGTGGCTCATACACGTTCCAGGGGCGCTCAGTTCTGCTGACCACCCCCTTGGGCCCGTTGTCGCCGTCACGTAGTCGACGCCTAGCACCACGGGGTGAAGGCCTTCCTACATTGCCATCCTGCGTTATCTCCTATTTTGTTCTCCTGCAGATGGCTCTGCCTTCATACTCACTTCCACATCGTTATTGTTCTTGGTTAATTGTTCTAATTGTTGGTTGCGGTCTTACGCATTGGGTTCGGTGCAGAGCTGCTTTAGTGTAATTGATTCTTTTAGGGGGGGGGGGGTGATGTAGAGGAGTAGTGTGATAACGTGACGTCATGGGTGCCGTGAGGCGTGATGATGTCATGTCATGAGCTCCATAGGCAGATCTCGAGAAGAAAGGGGGCTGGTCCGAGAAAGGGGGAGGAACCACCCAAGGGGGTACTTAAGGGGGACCCCGTGACGAAGGCAGGGTCATTGTGGGAGCGTGGGATGTAGATCGGGTGAAGGAGCCAAAGGGATAGCCAGGAGTAAGGCTCGAGGATGTCCGTGAGAGCCGGCTAGAGTAAGTGGGGTGCTGCTCTTCTCGGTCGGGCGGTGTTGGCTGAACCCCCATCCCCACTCGAGTGAGAGAGCCCAAGGAGATAGCCGAGGCTAGGATGGAAGTAGAGCCTGGGGTCCACGTGAAGGACCGAGTGTAGGGATACCTACCTCTGGTGTGAGCCTGTGTATTACCAAGTGTTAATAAATGGCGGAAGCCCTTATAAGAAGTTCCGTCTCTGAGTCGTCTACACCACAAAAGTCGTACATAATTAGAGTGGGTATAGTCGTGCAGCATTGGGGAAGGTATAGTGGTACAGCAATGGAGAATGTATAGTGGTACAGCAGTGGAGTGGGTATAGTGGCACAAGAGTGGAGTGGGTACAGTGGTACAGAAGTGGAGTGGGTATAGTGGTACAGCAGTGGAGTGGGTATAGTGGTACAGCAGTGGAGTGGGTATAGTGGTACAGCAGTGGAGTGGGTATAGTGGTACAGCAGTGGAGTGGGTATAGTGGCACAGCAGTGATATATTATTTTCTACCTATGTGATTTTACCGAAAGAACCAAAGAGTATGGATTCCTGCAGTTACAAAAGCTTCAAATCAAGATTCAGTAGATATTACTACAGTCAGTATATACAATTATAGAGTGAGGAGTTTCTACTATAGTCAGTAGATCCTCCTGTAGAGTCAGTAGAAACTACTATAGTCATTAAATACTACTACAGTCAGTAGATAATACTGTAGTGACTTACTCAGAGATGATAATACTTTGAGGCAGATCTTTTATTTAACGACCACCATCAGGATAAAACATATCCTATGTGGGTGCACACTCTACAGTCGCTAGCTTGGACACAACTATGACCATCTAAATATAACGGCACTGATGGAGACAGCCAGCAACCATCTAGCAGTGCAATATCGAGTGAAGACGGCAGCGACATTGGCGACAAACGACAGCGACGGTGGTGACAAGATGCTAACGATGGACTTGAGTAGCATGAGGGGGATCCCACTTCCAGCAACAGTCCCGAGGCCCCCCACAGGGGCCCTTCTTATACTCTCAGCGTGGCCTCGCTCCCCCCTGGCCACGCCCCCTCTCTGGAACCTACTAGCGGGTTCCTGAGGCTTCCCAATAGGCCCATTCTGTGACCTTTCCTCTAGATATCGCCCTCTCGCGTCTATCGTGGCCTGCTGACGTGGGTCCTGACACCCACTGCAATTAGCCTATTCCGACAGCAGCCAGTGCTATGCCACTACACTACTATAGAGTCAGTAGATACTACTGTAGTGACAGTAGATACTACTGTAGTCAGTAGATACTACTGTAGTCAGTAGATACTACTGTAGTGTCAATAGATACTACTGTAGTCAT